CCAGAGAAAAACCTAACTGGAAACAGCCCTCAGGCTGATTAAGTATGTGGGGAGTCTCTGTCCTTAAGTAGCTTGCCCAAGCCCATTAATTTTTTTTTGTGTGTGTGTGTCCCCCATTTACACACGCAATGCATGCCTGAAAGGGGAAAGCAGGTCAGCCTAGGCCGCCCGCTACCATCCGCTTCTATTCAGAGTCACTCAAGATCAGTGCCAGTGGGATCGATGCCCATTTAGGGGGGTTATTGTGTATGTTTATTTTTTTGCTCTTTACAATGAAGTCAAGAGCAATTACTGTAAGTTTGTAAAAGTGCACACAAATCATAATACACAATACAAAGCTGCTTTAGTCAGATCTTAGCATGTTTAGTAATCCTACACATGCTGTGAGAAAGACTGTTTTGGCACGACGATTTAGTAGATTGGTGAGGAATGTCTGGGAGATGCTGGACTGTATTTGATACTTGCCATCAAGAGCATATCCTATTTGCAATGCACAGCAACCCCAGCTGCTTCAATCTTGTTATTGTGTTGAAAGTGTTATCTCCTGCCTTCCAAAAAGTGACTGTACTCACATCCAGCATGGAGCAGAAGCTGATCATCACCTGGACTGTACAAGGGAAGCCTGAACAGATATAAAGCACTACAGGTTTGCTGAGGTAGTGTAAAGCACCACTTGCACAAACACCAAAGACCAAAAGGAGAGGTTCTCTGCCTATGCACCTATCGGACACGGAAAAAGCCTCAGGACAGTCAGAACTGTCTCAGCAACGCTCCAGCAGCCAGCAAGAGCTGAGCTGTATCCCTCAGTGCCATTTTGGGAGGCACACAGCAATAAGAGACCCAATTCTCAAATAGATAATCTCAAGAGGGGAAGAAAGCTGCTAGGTAAGTAAAAACCTGATGCATATGCCTCAAAGAAGAGGACCTTGTAATGGGTGGTGTGGAACAGGTCTCCAGACAAGGATGACTTCTTCCCGAGTATAGCAGGCACTATGAAATCCTCTGGTCACGTCCATGCTTTCCCTATGCATAAAGTATTTTTTAATTATGCATTTCTCTGCTCATTTGGATTTTGATTAAGACACATGCTTTCTAATATATGGGCTGTCATGTAATTGCTGTGGTCACACATGCAGAAAGCAAGAGAAAAAAAAAAGAGAATCAGCGTTCCAAACCATTTTGATCACCTAGAAGTCTATGGCTACTTGTGAAAAAAGAAAATTTCTGTGGGAAACACAGCTTTGCATTTCCTAAATAATCAGAATATAAATCAAAAAATAGATCAGAAGCAAGAGTTCTGAAGAAATGAAAAAATACATAAACCTCTACAGGACAAACATTTGTTTGTAAAATACTATAATTACATCTATTGACTTCATGACTTCTGTTTCCAAGATATTCCCTTAGAAAGCAGTCATACCCAAAGACCACTACAGGCTAAACAAATATAAGAATATTTCACAGCATAGGTTATGATGGTAATCTGTCTACAGTGTGAAATAGCTCTGGTTTGTTTTGCTCACTGCAATTTCCAGTGTGGTTCAGACCATCTTTAGCAAAAGTCCAGAGTGAAATTCAGTCCAAAAAAAGAAACATCAGGATATTAAAGCACAAGTAAACTTTCAGCAAAATAGTTAAGAGCTCGAACAAGAAATTCCAGTTCCAAGAAAGAGAAAAAAAAATACAGACCTTTAGCCTTATCCTAATCTTCTTCCTTCCTATTAAAGCATCTGTTAGATATTTGCCTCATGCCACAATAGTTAGGGAAAAAAAATCTAAGAGTAATTTCTGGCTAAGGAAGAGACACAAAAGAAATTCTTAGTTATAGCTGTATTTTCAGTATTTCAGTTTTCAGCACAGTGTAATACCAATGTGAACAAAGAACAAGCTCATTTTCAGTATAAAATTGGAACTCTGAAGGTTTTATTTTTATACAGTTTAAGGGCTTCTTGCTCCCTTATTCTTTTATTGCACAAATCATCTCCTCCCACAAGCAGTTGTGCAATCTCTCTGAGGCAACGAAGCCAATCACTTAGTCTCCCAGCATTACTTTCTCATGTACTTACAGCTGCCTGAAGATAATTCAGTAACTGAAGATAAAAAGGAATTATGATCATTAAGTTGTGCTCTCCAGGTCAAATTTTGAGAGTCTGCACTGTAGAGAAATAATTAAATGAAGATACATCTACCCCTTGGTTCTGAGCTGCTTGTATTAAAGTTTAAAAATGCTCTGCAGTCAAGCATTGCCACCTGTTCTTTCATTTTAAGTATTTCAAATTATGCTAATGGAAACCTGAAAAATGCTTGCATTCTGGAAATATGTACATTCACCAACCACCACAATTATTATCATATTAAATTTATGAAGAAATATGAAAAAATGGAATAAAGATTAAAGGGTATTATAAAGCCAAAAACATTTCTGCATGCATATTATATGCTACAAATATATATGTTTTCAAACCACTGTCTCCACTATGTCTAGAGAAAGCACACATTTCAATTAATAATGCATTCAGGCTTTATTTTCAGTTGTAGCTTTCAGGAGACATTACCCTTTCAGGCCTGATATTGTAACAGTCCTACTGAACTTCAGTTTTCATTAGACGACATCAATCAGCTTGCTTTCAGTAAAAACACATGTTCCGTGTAGACCACAAAAATTCTTAAAACACAAATGAAAGCTCTATCATATATATATATATATATACACACACACACATACATATACACACACACAGTCATGTATATATTTTTCATGAATATGTATAAGAGATGAATCGGATCTTGTCATTTATTTATCAGTTTTTTTAATTCACGTGCAATTCCAAGTCCAAAGTACTACGTCTTTTCTCCTGCCACCCTAAAGTCTCACTTCAGCTGGCTTAGTAAGCAGTGCAGTTGCCTGCAAGCAGTACTGTATAGCTATACTATACAATAACTGTTGCTTAACCCATATATGCTTAGCATGTTGCAAGTTCTCATTTTTCTTCCCCATGATTCTTATTGATTTTTATCCTCAATTTTTTTGCCGTTTTAAGTTCGAGGTGGTGAAGCTTATGTAGACAAGACCTTCTGGTTAAGACTGACAGACTGTTGTTTCCATTTCCAAACACTTTTGATTTTTATTGGCTCATTAAATATGTATACTACGAATGAGGTTTAAATTATCCTGCTATATAAATCATCCTTTTTTTGTTCCTCGCAAAGAGCAAAAACTGCTGCCATCTTGTGGTTAAACATTCTGGTGTGACACACAGACACTTGGACTGCACCCAAATACCTTGTATTACAGCAGTGATTTTGGGCAGAGTTGGGAGGATGAGAGAAGAGATTCTGGAAAATAATACAATTAGAAAAAAAAAAAAAAAAGAAGTTATTGTACTTCATTTCCAACCCTCTCTATCTTCCTAGTCAATGATTCAGGCTGGAAGTGCTGTCTTGTTAAAGCTGAGGTGCAAGAACATGAGCTACATTGCTAAGAAGAGTATCTGCTCCTCCACTTTGCTCCTTCCCTCTGGTGCTTGATGGGAAATAGTGGGGAGGAAGATAAGGAAATTCCCACAAGTACTAAGAAAAACTGCTCTTAAACTGGAACAGGTAAATTATTCGGGAAGGCAGTTCTGCCTCCATTTTTTTTTTCTCCCCCTATTTAGAGGCTATACATAATTTACTGGAAATTCAATTTTCCTAGACAGTTTGGATTTTGTGAACCCTAAGGAAAAACGTGATTCTTCCCATTAGAGAAAGATTCATTTCAATACTTTCTACCCATATCAAAAAATGGGGGCTAACTCTTTAACAAAAATTAATAAATGAAGCCTTTACATAGCAGCTTTAAAACAATTGTTGATAAGCGCCTCTACCACAAAACACGTTCATGCACAAACTTAAGGGTTGACACTTCATTTCTGTAAGCTCTTCTACTACACAGAAGCCAAGTATTACATTATTCATAACTTTCTTCTTTATCTGTAGACCATGGTTCAGAGTTCCATGACCATAACATTGGCCCGGGGCTTTTCTTTCTGCTTACAAATAGTTGAAGTGAAATAGTTCCATCAGAATTATAATTCAATTAGATGTCTTTAAAAAGTAAATGGAAGAAGTTCAAAGAATTATTTATAAAACGATCTTGAAGGAAAGAGTTGTCTATACTTGGGTGGATAAATGATAATTGCATATATTACAGACATGCAGACATCTAGATTCCTGTTCTTAGCATTTAATATTAAAACTGCTACATATCTCATTCACTACCTCCATAAACTTACCATCTCCTAACACAATTGAGTATGGCAATAATATGTACAGACCTTGTTATTCCCACACTAACTTGAACCACAGTAAATACAGAATACTCTGACTCTCATGCAATATCATTCATACTTAACCTTGTTAAACAACCTCGAAAAATGGCACAGCGGTGCACAGACACTACACAGCACCCTTCGGAAAAGAAAAATCAGCATCTGTAACACATTAGCTAGAAGCCCATCTCAAACCATTGCAACACAGCAAACGCTCTTTTCTTCTCACATTTGCACAACCTTAACTTTGCATTATTATCTGTCACCTCTTCTCTACTACCCCTGCATTTTCTCATGTGTATGAACCACTGCAATCTACCAGCACATTATGAATACTTATTTGCTGAACAGTTTTCTATGATGCAATTACAATTCAGTTAACTGCATAATATGCATATTGTAAAGCTCCTGGCAAATAAAAATTTGAATAAATACTTAATTGCAAGGATTCTGCTAAGTTGTGTACAGACAGATACAGCACAAACTCTTTGAGTACACCCCAATGAGATCATAACTCTGCTGATTTACAAATACTGTACATACCCATTAAAGCTTCAGCGAATATGGTAGTAATAAAAACAGAATGCCAAAAATTGCAAGTTTATTGTGAATGAGTATAGAACAAAACTTCAAAGCAATGTGCTTAACTGAAAGAACTGTATTTACTCAGTGACATTGGCTTACCTTCTTGCTGCATCTCTTCACACTTAGCTCTCACATGAATAACTCGGGGTCTCACAGGTTCAACTTCTGCAGCTCCTTGGCTTCCTTCCTATGTCATAGATTAAAAACATGTTAGAAATATGATTTTTGATTTAGAAACACAGTAAAATTACATGGCGGCTCAGGAAACATTCAAACATTCATTAAAGCACATGCTTTTGTTCTACCCCCTTTCAACTTCAAAAGCATTCAGACCTGAATTACCCTATTGCAACTCTGCTTCCTCTAGACTAACATCCTGGGAGCTGTAGGGATGAAAAAGTGCCATTCAGACCTAAGGCACAACAGACTCAACTCCTACTCAAAGAATGTGGCAGGAAGATTTTTCTTCTTTTTTCTCCATACTAATAGCCAGGATTTCCCCAATCCTCCTGGACTAAAAAGAACTGAAAGGGGAAAAAAACAGGACATAAATTGGAAACCCATGACAAGTAAATCATCTATTTCCTTGATCATGTTTTTAAAATTATTTTTATCTCTTCAAGAAACTCTTTTCAGGACCTGTATCTTCCACAATGCCTGTCATAAAGCAGTTCCTTAGGAACAACAAACACCCTGCCTGTTAAAAAGGAAGACATCACATTTGTCAAATACTTTTTTGCCTTAGGACGTTTACTGTTCAGGACAGAAATTGTGGCACGATGACAGTCCAGTACAACACACACACACACACAGGAGCTATGAGAAGTGCACCACCAGGTCTCAGAAACCTGTAAGGCTTCAACAGTCTCAAACTTGATTTTGTCAGTTATTCTGTTGGTCTATAGATGCATATGTGCTTTTTAGTCAAGCTTTTTAGAGGAAGAGGAACACTAGAAGGGTCATACATTTCTGTATATCACGCAGCATTTGAAGCCTAAGAAGCACTGCTATATGACTTTCAAGAAAATTATACGCCTTAAAAAGCAATGGCACTCTTGAAGTGACAGTATTTCTCTCTCCAAAAACTAAAAAGGAGAGCAGAGAAAGCATGCTTCAGTTCTGCAGGAGAAAACCCTACCCAATACTGGCTTCAAGTGACACACACAGCCAGAACATCTCTGCTGATGCCACAAGGCACCACTTGTGTGGATATGCCAGCTTGGATGGGCACCACTTCAGGCACTTTGATGCTCCATGGGGTAGGCCAACGTAATTAATGTTCAGCATAATTCAAAATTGACAAGAACACAAAGGGCTGAAGCAATTCTCTGAAGACAGGGAGGCTTAGCTTTAAGGGTAGGTGGAAGGGTGAATGAAGGACATCACTACTGAAAGGTCATCAGCACTATAGGACATGATGTTTAAGCAGCCTAACACTATACCCAGGAGGCCTTTAGAGGTAGGGGATTTTATTTAGACAACTGTGAAAAAGTAGTTTAAATTCAACTGAGCTGCAAACAGAAGTTTAGAGGTAACATAGATTCACAACCTAAAATTACATGTTCCTGGAAAACAAAAAATAACTCATTTGAAATACTAAAAATGAAAGCTAATGAGAATATCAAACTGACAATCCCACTTTAAAATGTTGATTATGTAAAAGCATTCCTATCTACGTAAGTGCTGACACGTAAGTGATGATACGTGATTAACTGATTCTCTAAGAACTTAATTGTGCAGTTGAGATTTAGAATGATTTAGATTTACCATCTTTGAAATGTTTAGCCATACAAATATGATTTTCAACATGACCTCTCCCATGTGCCAAAAATTATTTATTTAGAGCAAGAGGAGCGCAACTCCCCTGGCCATTCTCTGGCTTCTCACAAATATGATTTTCAACATTTATGACCTCTTCCCTTTTCCAAAAATAATTTATTTAGGGCAAGAGGAGCCCAACTCCCCTGGCCATTCTCTGGCTTCTTAGAGCTATGAGCATGGGGCAAAGCAACAGCAGATATCACTTAATTCCTGTGCTGTTAAATAAGAACAGTCACAACAAGTGAAACCAAAGATGCATTTCATCTTGCATCCTGTCCAACAGGCTAAAAGCAGATATAAGTCTCAAACTCCAATGCCAGAAATGGAGGAACAATGAAGAAATTTGGGCGGGTAAGAAAAATCGTGTATGACTTCAGGCATTCGTCATGGGGTGAGTGGCCACACAGGTGTCACTCAGGACTACAAAGCATTTTCCTGTGCCTTACAGGGAAAGCCAGGGCTCATCCTCTCAGTCCGATCCACACTGGTGCCAGGGAGCAAACAAGTGGCAAGTATGTGGCTGCTCTGTCCTGCTGTCCACAACCTCTTGGAAGCCAGGATCCTATTCAGGCAGGTTACAGAGGCCATCCTAGCTTTGCCATAACTAATCCTAGTGTCCCAGAGTATTGTTCCCAAGTAAATCAGAACAAAGTTCCACAGAATCCAAAGCTGGGGGTCATCTGAAGCATCTATGTGTTTTCTCAGACCTCTCCTAAACAATATTAAAAGCCTCGTTTTATACCTGAATGGATTCATTTTCTCACTTTCATGTATCTGTTAGTTTTCTTGCAATCAAGATAAAGCTAGAATTGAACATTAAGATGTGAAAGGACTGATATGCTTTCGAGGCAAGCTTTCAAATTACCTCATATGGGGATTTTTTTAATATTAAGGAGCCAAAGAGATATCTCCAGCTTGCTTATAGTCTGAGATGAAGCTCAGCTTCATTATTATTGGTT